GAGAGCTCTCTGGGCTTGCCATGTCCCCACAAGGCCTTTCCTTGGTTATGCGTGTATGGAGTGGGGACAGAGTTTGTCTACTGGGGGAGCTCCCTGGTGTTTCTTCTTACATGGACACCAACCCTATGGGATCAGGGCCCCATACTTCTGACCTCACAACTCCAATTATTTCCTTATTTCCAATTCAGCCACACTAAGGGTTAAGACTCCAACATATGAATTGTGGAGGGACACAAACATTCAGCTGTGCCACTACCAAACGGCTTCTATTACATAAGCTAGGTGATTCTCACATAGTGAGGGGTAAGAGGCAGCCGGAATTTGGGTGAGCTGGAAACCTCACTCCCTCATCTGCTCATCCTATTCCTTAGGAGCAGGACCAAGGAAGTGCTCATGCGATTGGTGCCCACCTGCCACCAGCTCCCTCTGGTGTTCCCACACAAGGATTACTTGACAAGGAGCAAATTAGATGGTTATGAATACATACAAAAAGATGAATTCCAGCAACCTTTCATCCTCAAGCCTTTTCTGAGCATGTTAACGTGTTGCCCTTACCCCCAGACAGTGTAATGATCCAAAGCCTTCTCAGGGTCAACTCCAGCAGACCAAGGCCGGGCCATCTGTTAACAGGCAAGCAGCTCATGGCTGTGTGCAGCCTGCTGCTTCAGAATGGGTCACCAAAATGAAGGAGAAAGTAAAAGGAGCAGACAAAAACTTCCTACAAAATCTCCTTTAAGTTGCCTGGGCTGTTTTTTTTTTTTTTGAAACATTAGAAATGTTCTATGGGTGGTTAGATTTTCCCCTTTGGCAAATGGCTCAGCTTTTCTATGAACAAGATTGTTATGAGCAAAGTTTCCTGTTGTATAGTCCTTAGAAATGTATCTATCAAATAGCAAATATCTTTGAAAGTGTTTTAGCTCAGGGGGCTCCCAAGTGATGTGTACATAGTGAGGGTCACATGAATGATCTGCTGTGGGGGTGAGGAGAATAATCGAGCTTCTGTTTATATTTATTCTTAAAATCTCATCCTTAAATTTCTATTTTGTGTGTGTTTTGTAATGTGTATGATATTCTTTCCCAGTTGATTGTATTGTCTGTGCTAATGATCAGCCCCAAATTCCCAGTCTTTTAACACAATGGAAGTTTCTGTCTTGCTTATGCTGGGTCCCATAAGGGTGTTCCTGGCTGGGTGGTGTTCCACATGATTATTTAGAGGCCTAGGTTCCGTGCATCTAAGGACTGTGTCCCCATCTAGGTCCTCAGAGTCCCCTCCACTCCCCCAGTGCCTGGGGAAAGGGAGATTAGCATCCGAGCTACTTAGCCATTTAGTTTAGAAGTGACAGATTTCACTTTCACTCACTTGCATTGGCAAGAAGGTGGCCCACCCAAATCCCAGGAAGCTGGGAATGAAGTCCCTAACTGGGCAGTTCCTGTCAGCACTGACTTCACACTGTCCTTGTCAGCTAACTTCCTGTGCTTCAGTAGGACGTGTGTGTATTTTCATGGAGTTTTTCAACCATTAGGGTTATGCAATCAAAAAAATTTTGAGACTAGTGTTTTAGGAACTGCCAGATTTAGGGCTGCCAGGCCAAAATTTGATTCCTTTTTTTCCAAAATGAGGTGCACTTTGCAGTACACTTAGTGACTGACACAAGGCCCAAAACAGTACTTAGCTCTTGGACTAGCCTCACTGCTGCCAGCCTTCAGATCCAGGTGGGTCACATGTCTTGAGCACCACAGCCCAGCTCCCTTGGAGATGGGGGTGGGCCATGAGGGGTTTCAGCAGATTGAATTACTCAGTTTCTGTGGGCTCCATCAGACCATCCTTTAGGGTGACCAACTCTTTCCAGCTTGCCTGGGACTGTCCTAGTTTTAGCACTCTGTGTCCCAGGAAACCCCTCAGTTCCAGGCACACCAGCATAATTTAGCTGGGACTGTTCTGATTTAAAACTGAAAATCTCATGTTCTGAAAACCTTCTCAAGCCCAGGTCTAACCAGGATGGTTGGTTGATGTAGCTCTGGGGGGGTAGGGTGTTCCCGGCCTGGGACAAATTCCCTATGAAAGTGATGAAACCTAAGTAAGTTGAGGGAAAGTGTAGGTTGGGAGAAACCATTTTTATTGCTCACAGCTTGCTAGGTCCTTCTCAGTCTGTCTCCTCCAGCCGCTCCTCAAGCTATGCCGCCTTACCGCGCTCTCCACTTTCTTCTCTGCCCCTTCCGGGAGGAACTGCTTTGGCAGGTTCTTGGTGACTGGCACATGTCAGACGAATTATGTACCAGGAACGGAGGGGAGAAGTGAATGGCTGTTATCTCTCCACCCCTTCCCCCTGTACCACCACCCCAGGCTGCAATGATAAACACCTATTGATATGTAAATAAACTAAGACCAGGTAGGAAATTATGGAAATTTTGCCATTTATCCCAGTCACCCTACTGTCCTTCCAGCAAAGACTCTTTCTTTATTGTCCCGGGATAGAATTTAAGACCCATGGTAAAATCTGCCTATAACAAAGGAGAAGTTTTCCCTAAAACTTTTTATGGGAAACTTAAATATGTGAAGAGCACAGGATTATTGTGCAGAGGACTCTAACCAGGGAATGAGTAGACTTGTTTTCCCTTGGTGTGGACATACAGGAAAGGGGACAGTCTATCCATAGTCATAATCAACTACACCTTCTGTTCCCATGCAAAGTGAAACTAACACAGCTGCTACCAGCTGTTTTCTGTCCCATTTGGAGATTTTTTCCTGAGGATCCCCTGTGTAACAAGACAAAATCGCATTTGCCTTCATGTCCAAAAGAGACCACTAATTATTTTTGTTTTGATTTTCATGTCAATGTAACTAATTAGTCAGTGATGGAATTGTTAAGAACGAATATTCAGAGTTTGGCCCCCTTGAGTCAAACAGTGTTTGTTGACAACTTACTATTAATATCAAGCTATCCTGGGACACATCCAAACATGGACCACTTAACTGTGGTGGCAAAAGACATGGTCACATGTTAGAGAGGGTGGAGGAGGTTATAATGAGCAGGTAGAATGGGATTCAAGTTATTTCAAGGCCAAGCTATACCTGGTACTCTCAGCATGCAGCAGCAGAGAAGACAATCAGCAAACAGCAGGGCCCCAGGACGGGTCATCAGAGAATTATTTGGAGTCTCTGAAAGATGATAGAAACAAATGGACAAAGCCTCATGTTACAGGGATCAGGGCTTAAGGCAGGTCAGCAAAAGAGAGACCAGGAGAAGAGTACAATGAGCATATCTGGGTCATAAGGTCAGGGTAGGACCAACAGTGACCAACTGCTTATAGGGAATAAAGGAGCTTATTTCTTGGGAAAAGGGGGTAGTAAAGAGATACAGTGTCAAATTCTTCATGCTTTGCCCTCCAGGAGCACAAGTGCAAGTTACATTCACATCTTTGCCTGAATCTCAAAGGCTTGTAAGCACCCCTGCTTACCCAGGCCCTCAGCACCCCTTTCCCTTATCTTCTTGGTTACTTCCTGGAGCCCCAGAGGATGTGCACAGGGGTACAGCTCCTGCTGGCAATCAATTTAAGGGGAGGGGGTGCCACTGTCCTGCTGAAGTCCTCCCCCAAATCCCATGGATATGGTGGACACAAGCCATTTGGGCTCTGAGAGCTGGGTGTTTGGGAGGTCCAGCTTTAAGGTGGAAGTATTAAATATTGGGGTGCTAGATGTATGGTCCTCAGGGAGAAACCGGTTGTTGAGGATTTCCTCCTGACTGAATGGCACTTGTGCTGGGGGTGCATTTGTGGAGATAGTGTCTCTACCTTCCCCGCCCACATTAGTGTAGGAATTTCCCCATTGCCACAGTGTGTAGGACTCACTCAGCTAGTGCCTAAATTTCTTTCAGAAGGAATTGCTCTGTGTGTGGCTGTACACTGGTGTGTGTGTGGCAGGAGGAATGTTCAGGAGCCTCCTGTGTCACCATCTTGGCCACAAACACAAAACAAAACACTTTTTTTTTCATTAAGAAAAAAAAAATCACTCATGGTGACCTGGGCTAAAAGACTCAGGCCTTCAAGAGTCACTATCAACTATTTTGGGGTCAATTGCCTCATAACCTTAAGTACTCAAACTTTAAGGCTGATTTCAGGAAGAATGTGGAATCCTTTGTAGTCCTATGTGCTATGATGCTTCCACCAGGCTCAACTTAAGGCCTCATCACAAACTACATTAAAGTTCTTTCTGGTTGTGATGTTGTCAGTAAAAAGTACAGCCAACCCAACCAAGATCACCTGGGGGTGTAGCACAGGAAGGAGGATGAATATAATTAATATTTTTCCCTTTGCTGGGTACAGATGAATGAGTTATAATTCACAGAGAACTATTCTTTTTTGCTTAAAAAAGTAACAAATTTTCCACACTAGTCTTCTATGAATAGAGGCAAATTGACTTTACATTAGGACAGAGCTTTGGAATCTGGAGATGACACAATCTACCTTTGATTATCTGTGAGGTATCAGTCAGCTTGGGCGCTCAGGCCTTAGTTATTTCCTCTGTAAAATGGGAATGAAATATGCTCATGTATTTATATCAGGAGATTTTAGGGATATTACTTATGATTATTTTTTAATGTGTTGAATAACTCAAGTGGAAAGCAGTGGATGTGAGGGAATTTGGGGGAAGAAATCCAATTAATATGAATTATTTTCTGTGTCTTTAGATAAGACACAGAATGATTTTTAGGCTTAGAATTGGGACCATGTCAAAGCCTGTCTTTTGGAAAAGAGCTCTATGATTCATTTCTGTTACTGGCAATTTACACATAGGAAAATGACTCTTGGCCCTGCTCTGAGCTTTAAACAATGTTTGGGTCCCATCTTGATAGACTCATTTGACATGTAAGGACATTTAAGTTTTTAAAGTAATTCTTACATTATTTTTATAAGAAGAGATTGGACATTTGAAGAAAACTCAATGCTTTGGTGTATAGTTTTCTCATAAAATAACCCAGATCTTTTATTTTTTCCTGCAGACAGAACTGTGTGGAGTTTTATCCCATATTCGTGATTACATTGTGGATGGCTGGATGGTATTTCAATCAAGGTAATCTAAAAATGCAGTCAATTCTGTTCTGATGACTACAGTTTTTAGAAAAATTAAGGAGCAGTCACGCAAACATTTATCTATTGATCCTGAAAATTATTTTAAACAAAATAAGCATGGTCTATGTGCCTCAAAGATCACTGTGCTGCAGCGAGGGTAACTCTGGCTTCTTCCCAATTTAATTCAGTAAGTTTTTTTTTTTTAAAAACCACTTTGGAACAAACTATATGCTGGGTGCTCTGGGATGAAAGCAACATGATCTCGTCTTCAAATCTGATACTCGAATTCTAGTTTCTCTTCAGGAAAAGAACAGAGTTAACAGTTCACCCTAATTACTATAGCTAGTATTTATTATTTATTGGGCACTCATTATGTATAGGTACTGTTTTTAAGGTGTATGCACTTATTATCTCATGCACAAGTTTTATAGGGTTAAGCACCTTCCTATGGGGTGCTATAATTAATTCCTGTTTTACAGATGAGGAAACAGAAGTACAGAGAGGTTAAGTGATTTGCCTAACTTAACATTCACCATTGTAGGAGAAAAGTAGCTTTCAAGTACAGAGCAGTGTCTATAGGTATTTGTCCCAGCAACCCATGTACCTTTCCTGAGAGTTCCCAGGGATGTAGTGTTCCTGTACGTAGCAGCTTGACTAATATCTGCTTTCTGTGGGACTGGGGTATCTTTACCCAATCCCTGCCTGTCCCTTTAACAGGGGGTCAAACCAGCATCACCCTGCTCCCTTTTTTGGAGAAATTAAATCAGTTTTACTTTACAATAACTTTTATTGCCTCATTTGTGTCTGATACGTGATTGTTCAGATTTAAATAAAGCCACATGCAACTACTTCCAACCTCATCACCCTCTCCTTGTAATTTTTATTGTCAATCGAGGAACTTCAGATAAAAAGCCCTTGAGAGAAAGACTTCTTTATTCCAACTCACGTTTTTGTCCCTTAAGGGCATGAATGAAGGCGGTTGTTCCTTGTTAGGTAAGACCACATTAATGACTAATAAGCAAAGTGCATTTGGTAATGGGACTCAGTGTCTGCCATTTGACCCTTTGGATTTCACTGTAATGGGCTGAATGAGGCCATCTGCCTGTCAGGAAAGGATTTCTTAGGTATCTTCTTGTAATTTTCTTCTTGTTCTTTCTCATCCAAAGTTAAGTTGCCTGTTAACTGCCCTGAACAGTTCTCATGGGCCTCATGGGAATAGTTCATTAGATATGGAGTTTCAAAACTGCAGCATCCTCAGAATCTCCCCACTTCCTCAGGTGCCAGGTGGCCCTACCTCATGCCTTCTCTTTTGGTTTGGCCCCCTTGTTCTTATCCTTCAGGCCCCCAAGCAAATGTTATCCCCTCAGAAAGATGCTCCTCCTCCAGCCTCCGAGTCTCATCCCTCTTCATTGCCTTCCCTGCACCTTAAAGTCTGTCATTTTCTTCTCCCTTTTCTTTGTTATCTCTGCTGATAAACTATAAAGGCAGAGAGCTTGTATCTATTTCACTGCTAACCCCAATCCTTGGACTAATACCTGGTATGTTGACAGTCCTAGTTTGCATCACTGAGGTGCTGAGGTGCTGAGGAGGAGAGAGGGTTCCTAACGCTGGAAAGATACTGATATTTCTCCTTGGACAGGATGGCAGAACAGCACACCATATTTTACACTTCTTTTGGGTAAAATTTATATCTAGTGAAATGCACAAATCTTACGTGTACCATCTGATGAGTTTTGACAAATGTGTGTGTTTGTGTGACCCAGCTCCCTGTCAAGATGGAAAGGCAGAAAGTTTTCTTGTGCGCCTCCCAATTAACCCCTCCTAGAGGCAAACACTGATCTGATTTTTGTCATCACAGTTTAGTTTTGCCCCTTCTAGGACTTTACATAATTGGAATCATACAGTATTTCCTTGTGTGTAATGCTTCATCCATTCAGCACAAGGTTTCTGAGATGTTCATGTTGTTGTAGGACCTGCTTCTTTTCATTGCTGAGTGGTATTCCACAGTGTGATCATTGCAGTCTGATTTGACATTTTTTTGTTGATAGATTTCTGGACTGTTTCCCATTTTTGGCTGTTATGAATTAAGCTGCAGTGAACATTCTGTACAAGTCTTTTTATGGATGTGTACTTTCCGCTTCTTGGGTAAAAATGTAGGAAGGGAATTTCTGAGCCAAAAAGTATGTTTGGTTTTATAAGGAACAACCAGACATTTTCCCAAGGTTGCTATACTATTTTGCATTCCTGTCAATAATGTTCTGAGGATTCCAATAGCACCAACGTTTTGTAAGGTCAGTTTTTTTAAGGTTTAGCTATTCTGGTGGGTGTTATCCTATGGTGGGTTCAAGTTGCCACTTGTTGATATTGAATGAGGTTGAGCAATGTTGAAAAAAATTTATCTGCTTATTGGTGCATCTGTTCCTCTTCATATGTGAATTGTTCAAATATTTTGCCCATTTAAAAATTGAGCTGTTTTCTTTTTCTTATTGCTTATTGAATTGTCAGACTTCTCTATATATTTTGGACACAAGTTTTCTGTCAGATGTACATTTCATGAGTACTTCCTTAAGTTTTCACACCACCTTTTAGGAGAGAGAGTGCCATCATATTCTGTATCGTGTCTATTTTCTCTCTATAGTGTTTGCTACTTGTCTGGGTCTGGTGTACATATATGCCCGTCACCAGTATTTCTGGGGATATTCAGAAGCAGCTAAAAAGAGGTAAGAAGAATTCAAGAATTGGGTGGTTAGGCAAAAAGGAACAGGGTGGAGTCTGAATTAGTTTCCTGTTCCTGGGAGTATTAACAGCCTGTGGTAGTGATTGCAAAGGCAGTCCATGTTGCCTGATGCCAAATCTTACCAGGCCATATGCGATTAGCTGCGAGGTGAGAAAATGCCAGTATGAAGAATACAGTGTGCACAGCATGTGCACTCTCTGGCCACCACACTTCTTAAAATCCTTGTAGAAATTTTGCACTATCTCCAAAAACTTACCAAGGAAATAATCTTGCCCAGCCTCAATAATCCTTTGAATGTCCAAAGGAGGCAATTAACCTATGTGGCTCAGCATCCCCTCTAATTTGGGTGGAGAATCAAAATTTTCAAATGACAAAAATCTGGGCATTCTGGAAATGTCAACAATGAGCTTCATCACCGTAGCCAGTCAACCTCTCTCTCTCTCATGTCTGCCCTGCAGGATCATGGGTTTCCGGTTGAGCCTGGGGATTTTGGCCTTGTTGACAGTCCTAGGTGCCCTGGGGATTGCAAACAGCTTCCTGGATGAATACCTGGACCTCAATGTTGCCAAGAAACTGAGGCACTTCTAACTTTTCCCCCTCCCTTTGCGCAAATGCTTGCAGAAGCTCTTTCCACTCTGAAGATTATGTGGAGTCACTTGTTCAATTTTCAAAAATAAAAGTATTTTGTTTTTCTTGAAATGGATTGTACAAACATACCTTTTAAAGAACACATTTCCGGTTTAAGAACTGAAGTCTCCTCTGAGGGTAGATGGCTGTATCACCAATGGAAGTGCTGAGCCCAGGATTGAGACATGCCCATGGAAACCATGACTGCTCCTCTGGGGAGGAAGCAGCCTGACCCGGTGCTGAGATTCTGTGCAGGCCATCACCGCTACCTGCCTCTGAGGTGGCTTCTTTCTTAATGGAATGTTCCAGGAAGATGCTGATAGGGCAGCCAAGCCCACATCATTGGTTGTAAGAAAGCAACAGATGGCTGCATGTGGGGGAAAGTCAGGCATACACATAGGGTAGCTGGAGAAGAGAGTCATCAACTAATAGCACAAAACAAATGTGGTTGTGAAAATTTACTTTATAAAGCAGAAGGAAAAAGAAAAAAAGGCCAACCATTTTCTAGAGACTAGTGCCCAGTAAGTATTCTTGCCCCTGGGCAGAGAAGGCCATGTTCTCTGCTGGAGTGCCTAGGGTGGGGCCTGCTGTCCGTTTGCGCCCTGTGGGGCGTGGGGTCAGTGCTGCTGGGATCCTGAAAGGCAGTCATTGTCTGGCACAAGGCAAATGACTTTTCTTCATTTTCTTCATCTGTAAAATGGGAATAAGTCCACCTCACAGTCTTCAGGCACCTTAGGAAAATGGAATTATGAGCATATATATCATATTTTAACTTCAGGAAAAGAGCTCTCTGTCAATTTTTCCAAAGAAGGTTGGACAGCTCGGAAGCTGGTGTGGTCATCTTCAGGAAGCTGTTTAATGAGACTTTTCTTTCTTTTGTGGGCACAAGGGAATTTACAAAGGCTATGAATAACAGAAAATGAAATAAAGGCTTTTAAACACTAGTGTTTCCAGAATAGCAGGGGAGAAGATATGACACCCTGCACTCCACAAAGTGATATTAAATACCCCAAAGGATACTGACAGTGTAGCAGTGCAAGAACCGGGATGTCTGGAAACCAGTCTGGTTCCCACACTCAGTGGTTGTTTGACCTTGGACTCGGCACCTCATTGACAGACGTAGTGTAACAAAGACGTGGAGACTCCAGGGCCAGACAGAGCTATTTCCTGTTCTACCACTCGCTGGCCATGCTCCCCAGCACTTTGTAGCTCTCTGCCTCGGGTTTCCCTTAGGTAAAATGGGGTTAGTACTCTAAAATGTTGTGATTCTGTGGTCTTTTTACTTTATAGTATTCTGATCAGTTACAGTAACTTGTAATTATGATATTTTAGTTGTTTTATACACTGAAGTTAAAGGAAGGAAGGGAGAATGCAAATTTTTGATGCTGAAGCATCATTATCACATCCTTTGGAAGTGGTAAATAAAACACAACTTTCCAAATCTTATACTTAAGGATTTTTAAACAATTTCTATTTTGCATATCAATTGGAACTATTTAAAAATGCGAGCTATAAATGTGCACACACATACACATACACAGAGTTTGGTTAAAAACATCTTTAAACATCTGAACTGTAGAATTTATTAACTTTGTCCTAATACTTTTGTCACCACAGCAACCTCATGGTTACTTTAATTCCTATAAATTGGCTACAGGGAGCAAACCTGCTGGCTAGAGAGATGTTTCTGATCTGCTTGGAAGTTTTATATATATTTTATATATTAGTGAATTGACAAATTTTATTTTTAGAAACCAGATTCATTGCCTCAAAAATCATGTTATGAAAATCAATTATGAAAAAAGGGATGGAAAACTTTTCTATATTAAAGAAGTCTTAAAAGGCATGAGAAGTAGGTGATATTAGGGAATAAATGATTGTGTTCAGTGTAGAATGATATTGTGGTTAAGTGAGAGAATGTCCTAATTCTTTGGAGAGCATAATGAGAGGCTGAGGGGTGAAGAGGCTGGATGGGTATAACTTACCATGGAAGATTTCACAAAACATGTATGTAAAACATATATGGTAAAGTGTTAACAATTATTAAATTGAGTTGATGTTTAGTTGTTTATGGCACTATTCTTTCTACTTTTATGGTTGTTTGAATATGTTTATAAGAAAACATTTAAAAAGCTGAAAAGAAGTTAAACCTAAAATCAGCTTCTTGGTGGCTCACAAGTTCTTTTATGTCAAGCACGACATGCTTGACTCAGGATCTGTGGTACTGTCAGAGCCACAGCCTCAGTGCTGGTCTGGCAGCCACCCCAGGCATGGCTGGGACACTTGGGCCCCATGTGTGTGGATGCTGCCTGATCACCTCCAACTGGTGCATGAAATGAGATGGGTGTCTGTGGTAGCTCGCTCAGAGGACACCAGCTTGGGAATCAAATGTCCTTAGAACTTAGAAAGAAATTAGAGGAAACTAAGAGAAAAGAAGAGGGAAAAAAAGAAAAAGAAAATAAAAGGATAAAGGACTGCTTACACAAACAAGGGAAATAGGAGCCCTATTCCCTTCCCAGGCATTTTTCCTCTCCACTTTTCTTTGCAGGGTTGGTGGTGGGTGGAGTGTGGCTAAAAATTAACAATAAAAAGAAAAGTTATTAATATAGAGAAGCATCAGGTCATTTGTTTTCCCCTCATTTTCTCCAGACAGTCTTCTTGGAAAGAATGGTCAAAGGCAGAAATAGCTCATCCAATGCTTTTGACTGTTCTTTAACTTTCAGCAATAAAATACGTCTTTCTCCCTGGGGCAGATGCCTGGTGACTTCCTGGGTAGATGTTTATTCTCTGCCTCCTTCCTCCCATCACACACTTAATGCACTGGGATTTTATAAAGGTCAATAAGATTACATGTAAAAAGTCATTTTGAAGGAGCAAGGTATTCATTCCATTCACCCAGCACAGAACAAATTTTTATTCTGTAGTTTTAATAAACATAAAAAGATATGGTTTTAATTAACTGGGACTAGGAGGCATAATCAACTCTTCTCAGAGCTTCATGTTTTTACTTCTATTATCAACCCCACCCCCAATGCAAATCAGTCCATTATTTCATCTTGTACATTGGGACGGCCTAGTGTCAGGTTGTTTTCTATACGGTATTATTTGCTAGCTAGTCTTGAACCACAGTCTACCATGAGCAGAACCAGACTTACCTTCTACAAATGCATTTTCTCTTGGTTTGTGTATATTAAAACTCACCTTTGTTTTGGGTCTCTTTTCAAGGATGATTTTATTCTGTTCTTGTGGCCTGTTTTTCTGCTTAACCCAGATGGTTTTGTTGTAGTAGTATGTAGATAGACAGAGCAGGGACAGGGTTGGGGACTTTGGCCAGTGTTTACATTCAGCTAGATGCTAGTTTATATTCTAACCATTTCATGTAAACTGGGATATGGGGAATGAGGGTATAGGTAATAGACCTGCCAAAATTGACTGGTTCCCACATGGAGAAGTGACCCTGACTTCACCTCAAAATGCATTATATGCTCATGAGCATACTAAAAATCACACCCCTTGGCACCATGACAGCTCGGAAGCAGACCATCTAAGGACAAAAAGTGTCACCCTGTTTCCCAAGAAACCCTCCCTATTCTGAGGAAACCCCCTCTATCCCAATGAATATCCTGCCCTATTTAAACTCCAGCTATAAGACTGCCTAACCTGACTCCCTCCAAGCTGCTCATCTCTGGAGCACACCTGTAGTCCTTCCTTGTGTGTGTACTTTGCTTTACTAAATTACTCTTTGCTTGTGTCTGCTTGACCTACTCATGAATTCTTTCTCCATTAGGGTCAGGAACTGTCTCCCAGGTTGAGTTCTTACTTGGTGTGAAGGGAGATCTCCCTAGATTGAATTTCCCAGAAACAATTTTGGATCATGTTGTTGTACTATGCTTTTAAAGTTTGATGGGAAGTCTTGTGTCAGGTCTTCTAGAGTGGAGGGGTAGATTCCTATGTGTGTGATTTATTAATACAGGCCTCTCAGGCGGGGAAAACAGAAGAAAGTTGGGGAAACAGGACAGAGATAGTTAAGAAGCTGAACAAGGCAACAACTTCAGGCAGAGGTTTAGCCTCTGGCTGATCTTTCAGCAGACCTTGAACATAAATCCTATCTCAGAGTTTATCCAGACAACTTAACTGGGTTCTCACCCTTCACCAGTCTGGAGAGATGTAAACATCTAAGCACTTTCAACTCTCTTTGGGTGGTGCAGGCAAAGCCAGGCCTTGGCCTGAGGCAGTGCTCCAAAGAAAAGCAGCATGGCACACGTGTATGTGTGTGTGTGTGTGTGTGTGTGTGTGTGTGTGCTGACAGTGTCCACTACAGTGGGCAAGACCCCTTTGTTACTTTCCCCTCAATATGTTGAGTTTTCTTCCTTTTTTTTTAATAAAAATTTTACTATCAATTTTCAAAGTCCTCTGAATGAACCAGTTGGAAATTGAATTGNGGTGTGTGTGTGGCAGGAGGAATGTTCAGGAGCCTCCTGTGTCACCATCTTGGCCACAAACACAAAACAAAACACTTTTTTTTTCATTAAGAAAAAAAAAATCACTCATGGTGACCTGGGCTAAAAGACTCAGGCCTTCAAGAGTCACTATCAACTATTTTGGGGTCAATTGCCTCATAACCTTAAGTACTCAAACTTTAAGGCTGATTTCAGGAAGAATGTGGAATCCTTTGTAGTCCTATGTGCTATGATGCTTCCACCAGGCTCAACTTAAGGCCTCATCACAAACTACATTAAAGTTCTTTCTGGTTGTGATGTTGTCAGTAAAAAGTACAGCCAACCCAACCAAGATCACCTGGGGGTGTAGCACAGGAAGGAGGATGAATATAATTAATATTTTTCCCTTTGCTGGGTACAGATGAATGAGTTATAATTCACAGAGAACTATTCTTTTTTGCTTAAAAAAGTAACAAATTTTCCACACTAGTCTTCTATGAATAGAGGCAAATTGACTTTACATTAGGACAGAGCTTTGGAATCTGGAGATGACACAATCTACCTTTGATTATCTGTGAGGTATCAGTCAGCTTGGGCGCTCAGGCCTTAGTTATTTCCTCTGTAAAATGGGAATGAAATATGCTCATGTATTTATATCAGGAGATTTTAGGGATATTACTTATGATTATTTTTTAATGTGTTGAATAACTCAAGTGGAAAGCAGTGGATGTGAGGGAATTTGGGGGAAGAAATCCAATTAATATGAATTATTTTCTGTGTCTTTAGATAAGACACAGAATGATTTTTAGGCTTAGAATTGGGACCATGTCAAAGCCTGTCTTTTGGAAAAGAGCTCTATGATTCATTTCTGTTACTGGCAATTTACACATAGGAAAATGACTCTTGGCCCTGCTCTGAGCTTTAAACAATGTTTGGGTCCCATCTTGATAGACTCATTTGACATGTAAGGACATTTAAGTTTTTAAAGTAATTCTTACATTATTTTTATAAGAAGAGATTGGACATTTGAAGAAAACTCAATGCTTTGGTGTATAGTTTTCTCATAAAATAACCCAGATCTTTTATTTTTTCCTGCAGACAGAACTGTGTGGAGTTTTATCCCATATTCGTGATTACATTGTGGATGGCTGGATGGTATTTCAATCAAGGTAATCTAAAAATGCAGTCAATTCTGTTCTGATGACTACAGTTTTTAGAAAAATTAAGGAGCAGTCACGCAAACATTTATCTATTGATCCTGAAAATTATTTTAAACAAAATAAGCATGGTCTATGTGCCTCAAAGATCACTGTGCTGCAGCGAGGGTAACTCTGGCTTCTTCCCAATTTAATTCAGTAAGTTTTTTTTTTTTAAAAACCACTTTGGAACAAACTATATGCTGGGTGCTCTGGGATGAAAGCAACATGATCTCGTCTTCAAATCTGATACTCGAATTCTAGTTTCTCTTCAGGAAAAGAACAGAGTTAACAGTTCACCCTAATTACTATAGCTAGTATTTATTATTTATTGGGCACTCATTATGTATAGGTACTGTTTTTAAGGTGTATGCACTTATTATCTCATGCACAAGTTTTATAGGGTTAAGCACCTTCCTATGGGGTGCTATAATTAATTCCTGTTTTACAGATGAGGAAACAGAAGTACAGAGAGGTTAAGTGATTTGCCTAACTTAACATTCACCATTGTAGGAGAAAAGTAGCTTTCAAGTACAGAGCAGTGTCTATAGGTATTTGTCCCAGCAACCCATGTACCTTTCCTGAGAGTTCCCAGGGATGTAGTGTTCCTGTACGTAGCAGCTTGACTAATATCTGCTTTCTGTGGGACTGGGGTATCTTTACCCAATCCCTGCCTGTCCCTTTAACAGGGGGTCAAACCAGCATCACCCTGCTCCCTTTTTTGGAGAAATTAAATCAGTTTTACTTTACAATAACTTTTATTGCCTCATTTGTGTCTGATACGTGATTGTTCAGATTTAAATAAAGCCACATGCAACTACTTCCAACCTCATCACCCTCTCCTTGTAATTTTTATTGTCAATCGAGGAACTTCAGATAAAAAGCCCTTGAGAGAAAGACTTCTTTATTCCAACTCACGTTTTTGTCCCTTAAGGGCATGAATGAAGGCGGTTGTTCCTTGTTAGGTAAGACCACATTAATGACTAATAAGCAAAGTGCATTTGGTAATGGGACTCAGTGTCTGCCATTTGACCCTTTGGATTTCACTGTAATGGGCTGAATGAGGCCATCTGCCTGTCAGGAAAGGATTTCTTAGGTATCTTCTTGTAATTTTCTTCTTGTTCTTTCTCATCCAAAGTTAAGTTGCCTGTTAACTGCCCTGAACAGTTCTCATGGGCCTCATGGGAATAGTTCATTAGATATGGAGTTTCAAAACTGCAGCATCCTCAGAATCTCCCCACTTCCTCAGGTGCCAGGTGGCCCTACCTCATGCCTTCTCTTTTGGTTTGGCCCCCTTGTTCTTATCCTTCAGGCCCCCAAGCAAATGTTATCCCCTCAGAAAGATGCTCCTCCTCCAGCCTCCGAGTCTCATCCCTCTTCATTGCCTTCCCTGCACCTTAAAGTCTGTCATTTTCTTCTCCCTTTTCT